AAAATTAACATCAGAATATAAGATATCAAGGTATAAGAATAAATAATAGGCATAAATGCATCTCTAAGACGTAAATTAGCATATTAAAAAAACGCATTAGTAATTTTTATGCCTTCTAAATTATGTTTTAAATTTTCAAAAATTTTTCGACATATACGTGAAGTTTATTACACGAAAGATCTAAAATTCTAATTTTAAAAAAAGGGTCATGTTTTTACATTTTTTTCAAAAAGAAAAAAATTTTTCTCGAATGTTTTCAAACGTTTATATATTGTGACTTTGAATTATACATAAAAATGCTAAAATTCAGATTACATGCATTTGGAATCTCATCAGAGCATCGCGTTTCGACGAGGCAATGCGTATTTTCGCGCAATTTCCGCGTTTGACCTTTTTCCCTCGTTTCGAAGAAGGGTTGAATTGCTAAACCACCGACAAATCACCCTCTCGCCAACGCGCATGCACGCCGTTACCCAACATCGACCTTTCCACTCCTAGACACGCGCTTTGAGAGCGCAAGCGTGCTGGCCATTACGTGCGCTTCTTGCAGAAATACGTCGGTAATCGTTCGGAACGCAAAGAGTAGCCGCGCAACCAATAATATTACTCCGATTATTCTGTATACGAGGATAAACACGCGACTGTCTACGTTGGAGCAACTCGACGGTAGTCGTAAACCAAGCGCGAATCGTGAAGGCCATCGTTGAATGCGCGTGTCATGGTCTTCCTCTTATATAAGTGCCGTCATCACGGAATTACACGACAGTGTCAGTGCATTCGTTCACCACGAAGCGAGCAGTCGCATGGTAGATAAGCGCTCTCTGTTGTATCGCGTAATTAAGACTTCCGCTGCCTATCTCGATACAAAATTTGCATAGCTAAATGTAACAGTGTAAAGTGTAATATAATTTTACTTATTTACTTATTTACATTTGTATCAAATCTACGAACTCGATGAGGTAATTACGACGAAAATATTCGTTAGAGAGAATCAATAAATTGATGTGTTTATTTTTCAAAATTACATATAGTCGTAAGTTTTTTAAAAGGGGAACTGGTTTCACTAGAAATAAATTAAGAAATTAAATGAAAAGAATTAAAAAATTATATACTTTTCTAATATTTTTCTTAGTCAAATTCTTACGGAAATTAATACAGAAAATGAAACAAATCTTACTTGAAATATTCCTAAATAGAATAATAAATTATGACTTCTCAAATAAATAACGTTAAAATGAATCGTAAATAATTAAAAAGTAATGATTATTTTGACGTTATGATGACTTATGTTTCGCTTGACATATGTCATTTATGTGTGTTATATAAATTTTTTCTTTTTTTTTTATGTTCTCAAATAAGATATGTAATATTAAAAACTATGTCATATATATAAACGATTTATGCTGTTGTTTATATTAATGTCTTATGTTGTTTACTATGATCGACTGTGATTTGCTTCGGTTTTTTGTGTGCTATAGCTTTAACAATAATCGTGCTGGCTCCTCATCATTTGCATATTGCACAGTCTCATTCCATGTAATTATTTATATAAATCTCGTTTGTACGTATTAAAATAGAATAAACTAAAATAAAATAAAATGTGAAAAGCAAAATAAAATAAAATTAAATATAAAAATTATTTTGTTAATTATTAAAATTAATAATTCATTATTTCTCTCTCTGTCTTATATTTAACTAAATAATTGTTACCACACAACCAACTAAGGGATTTTAAAAATAATTTTCTGATTTGAAATATTACATATTCAGTTTTAGAAAACCTATCTTTTTTTATGCATTTTAATTCATCTCTGATATATTTTTTCAGAAATATTGTTTTACAAAAAAGTGTTTTATGAGCGTCGGATCGATTGAGATATTCTACAATGACGTGTCATTGCAACGTGTCGTTACCTGCAATAGTAACTACTTAAGATAACGAATACAACGTCGTGTTGTATTACACAATTCGCGAGAGTGATATAGCTCGAGGTTGAAAAAGCCGTAAAAATGGGTGATAGCGAACAGAATAGAAACATCTTTACCTACGACACGCTAGTGCACGCGATATCTGGTGCAGCGGTGAGTTTATATTTGACACGTCAGAAATCTTACACGTGTTACCTCATCGTCGTGGGATAACTTTGACATTTTAACATTTCAGGGTAGCGTCGTCGCGATGGCAGCCTTTTATCCTTTAGATACCGTGCGAAGCCGTTTACAATGTAAGCAGATTCGCACCTGTCAGATACATGACAAATCAATTATGCACCCGTTTCCTCCGCGATGCATTGAAACGAGGCATCGGCAAGCCAGACTTCAATTTCATTAAACGCGATGTCACTCCCGGACAATATTCTGCTACTTTATTGTCACGATCTCGTTACCATTAAATGCTTGCACCGATAACATTACGCTAAATACACGTTATATTTGGTTATCAATTTAATTGTCGACGTTTACGCTATTTAAGCGTATATTTTATAGGTTTATTTTTTATTCAGAACTTATTTAAATGCATTTGTATGTCATCATGAATTGACGCATAATTTCCGTAACAAATTTAATATACTGATAATAAGAGACAAAGGAATAAAAAAAAAACTAATAAAAGGAACAATTTTTTCTGTAGATAAAGCGAATTTTATGTATGGACGTTTGAAAAAGAATTTACAATTCGTGTCACAATTCAAAATAGGAATCTAACATTTACAATGTGATGCGCCTTGTAAAAAAAATTGGGAGACAAACATAAAATATATAGATACATATATTACAGTAGATAAATATAATAATTAGAGGTCACCCTGTATATTAAATATATTAAATTTTTATATTAAATATAAATTTAAATATAAATATAAATTTATATTTCTTAAAAAATTTATTTATATTTGTATATTTCAGGAAGGCAATAAGTTTATTTTATAAATTTTATAACGCGCGGCAAATAGAGACATGATTACAATGCTTCATGAAAAATTAAAAAGAATAGTATTACTCACGTTCACAAATTAAGGCACGCGTTTTATTTTCTTATGATAATTATTTATACATTGCATAATTACTCAACATTTATCTTTCACTTCATTCAATAATCTTATTATTCATTAACCAACCTGTTCTTACCTTTTGCTTACAGTGGAAGAAGGACGCCAATCAAAAAGTACATTGGCTACTATACGAGAACTCATTGCGAAAGAAGGACCGTATGTATACGTTACGTATATATACCTCAAATATGTATTTTCTCAAAGCGAGCTCTATACATGTCTTGAACAAATGAATGAAACGCGTTGTATAAACTACGACAAATATATTGAGAAACCAGTTTCTCTTTGGTTCATAGATTCTAGCATAAATAAATACAAGGAATTACTCATGGTATAATAACGTAGATGTTGTAATATTCCCGTAAATGCGCAGAATTAATTTAAGCTCAAATTTGATTAGTTGTTCCAGGGTGCTACCGCTTTATGCGCAATTTTACATCCATAAAAATGCATTTGGACCCAAATTTGATTGATTGATTCAATATTGCTATTACCATTATGCGCAATGTTACATCTATTTTCTTATATCATGAAATTATTCATTTTGCGTCATCATATTTTTAAAACATTCGCATAACTTAATTGTCTTCATTCATCTTTTTAAGATATACCCTATACAGAGGTATCGTCCCTGTTCTGCAAAGTCTATGTGCGAGTAACTTTGTTTATTTCTACACATTCCACGGCTTAAAAGAACTGAGAAGCAAAAGGAATCAAACGGCTGGCAGTGACTTGCTTCTCGCGTCAATTGCTGGTACGGCTTCTCGTCAACAAAATCTATGTTTCGCGTAGTAAGATTCGATTTCTCTTTGCAAATAATCAGAGCACTGAAAGTTGTTTATAAATGATTGGAATAACATAGAAAATAACCAAAATAAGATAAGCAGTACTTAGATATATTCTAATTTAAACATACATTTTATCTAAAAAGGATTTTAATCGGAGATTTAATTATAAAGATAAATAATCATTTTAATGACACTAAAAGATATATATTAGATTATGCAGGAAAATTGATAAGAGAAAAATAAGTAATATTCCGTTAAATTTTTCTACAAGAAAATACCTATTATTTACTATAAATAATATATACTATAAAAGATAAAACGTTAATTTTAACTTAAATATATAGTGGACTTTCTGAGACATGTAAACACGTTAAAATTAATATTTTTGTGTTAAGTTTAACATTTTTGCCTCAGAAATTCTACGTCTTTAAGTTAAAATTAACTTTTTATTTTTTACAGTGTAATCTTCGATTTTAACGGAAGAATTTTGATATTTGTAACTTTGGTGAAAAATCTTAGGACATTTTATATACTTTTACATGTTTGCACTAGGTATTATCAATGTCCTCACCACGACACCTCTATGGGTTGTGAACACGAGATTGAAGATGAGAGGCGTTGGATTAACTTTAGAAAGAAATAACAACGAATATACTACTCTGTACGGTACGTTAGCATTTCGTATAAAAATTATATTTACGAGTATTTATTTAGTAGATAGTTGATATTGATGACCCATACAGCACAGAACGTTGAAATAACGTTGCTGAGATGTTGCAATGTTGAATGTTGAAGTATGAAGGTTTCATCAATATTGAACCTATATTAATTTTGCTTAATACATTGATTGTTAATGTCGCTGCAACGTTGAAACAACATTGAATAAATTGTATCGCAAGTTGAATCTTTACTGATTTTTCCATATTGATTGTTAATGTCGCTGCAACGTTGAAACAACATTGAATAAATTACATACGAATATCAATTATTAATATTAATAATTTCATTTTGTAAAAAATGAACAAAAATAGAATGTTACGTAAGTAGAAAATTCATATTACTTAAATATTGATCTTTTAACGAAATTCATTTTTAAATGATATATTACATATATTGTCAATATTTGTGAGAATCGCTCACAGTGCTCGCGCGTGTTGTTATTATTGAGTCTGTGTTCGACCGGTCAAGTGCACAACATCGATTCGTAAATCGTGGTCTTATCGATCTATCGCGATCTATGCTCGTGCCAGGAAAGGGAGAAGAGTGCCGTAGCAAGAAGAAGATGAAGCTCGTGTCGTGTCCGCATCCGATGTTGATCAAACGTGTAGAACAGTTTAGAAATAATTTTGTTGCTCGAATGTGAGATAAAGTTTACTGCAGCTGCAAGAAATAATAAGCATCAGGTACGTATATTTTATTTTATTTTTTACATGTTTTTATTGTCTCTGTGGAATGAAATTATGTATATATGCAGCGTGCACGTGATTTAATTGTTTTTTTGAGGTTATATATAATGCACGTGGTTTTTGAGGTTACGTGCAATGCACGTGGATATTATAGAAAGACGTACTTATTTTACATTTTTACTGCAAAATCGGGAATGTAATTATATAAGAGGTTATGGATGTATCTATTATTATTAACATATTGCTGTCAGAAATATGACAAAGCCTGCTAGACATGCTATGCCAGGAAATTGGTGGCAGAAACCGAACGAAGTCCTGCATAATTAACTTCACGGCAGATTGAGAGCATAATGCAAAAATTATCCTTTCAATTATTTTGGTAATTATTTTTAATGTTTTCTCATTATTATTTGATATATTTGCTAGGTACATGTGTACGATTTAACGAAGCTCGCTATAAAACTATCTTTACTCATATTTGTGTTTATAATTGTATTAAGTAATCGAGAATACATACAAGATATTCACGCGGAATAAATTTTATTATCACTATAAAGTTGTTGAAAATGTTGCCTGAAAATTAAGTCTTATTATATAAAAAAAAGTTACGTTCCGGACATACTTTTTCATGTATAGGAGACTCAGCCTTTTCTCGGTTATACCACTAATTATTATAAAACATCCTGCATATTTGCTTAAAATATGTTGCTACTACATAAGTAACTTTTTTTGTTTAGAAAACCTGCTGCCGTTGGCGCCGAAGTTGACGACGAAGTTGGCGACGAAATTGAGTAAAATAAAGATACATACAAATTTAGATTATTTAAGTATTTCAGATCTCACTTAGATATTAGATATTATAAGATATTATTTCGTTAAAAATTATCATTAAAAAAAAGATATATTTTATATCAGTTATTTTGTTAAAATATATATATTTTAAAATATTATATATTATATCCAGAATAATATTTAGATATTTTTAAGGCTCCTGAGTCACCTCAGTCATATTGAATCGTAACATCAGAAGCGAGAAATGAGACGTTAATTTGGGTTGCATGTCATGTGTAAAAAAGATAATTTGAATAAAACAAAATGATTAGATTGCTTTTAAACAATTGTAAAAATGGGAGAAAACTATTCTTATTCCTCTAACAATTAGTAAATAATCGTAAAAGGCACGTGAAAGTGGAAATGGCTAATAGGCTACACAGGCGTTGAGTAAATGCACTTCACGTGTCTTTTATCACCTTTTACGATTATTTATTGATTGTTAGGGGGATAAGAATAGTTTTCGCCCATTTTTACATTTTTACAATTGTTTTAAAGCAATCTCATCATTTCGCTGTATCCAAATTGTATTTTTTTACAAATGGTACGTAACACAAATTAAATTAATGTCTCATTTCTCGCTTCTGACGTCATGATTCAGTATGGCTGAGATGAGTACTCAAGAGCCTTAAATTAAGTTAAAAGTGCGTTATAATATATTATATAATACTTTTAAATATTATATTAAAGATTTTAATTATGAAATGCTATATAATTAAGTGTATAAGTCGTAAAAATAGTCGTGTAAATACATGTATACAAAATGCAATTTAAAAAAAATTTTTTACTTTATTAATAAAAAAAGCGAAATTAATTACATGAAACAATTTTTTAATTTGTCAAGATTAAAAATTACCTTTACATTATATATATTTTTTATTTTCAAAAGAATAAACAAATACGTAAAATTAGTCTTTAAATTGTAGGAAAAAATTTAATTTAAAAAATAATATTGATTTTTTATTATTTAAAATTCTTCTGATATACCAAAATATACTTTTACAAATAAATAGTATATATATATTTTTTTTTTTAAAAAGCAGATCAGAAAAATCAATTTTAAATAATAAGAATCAATATTTTTTAATTTTTATGTTTTGCACATTTTAAAGATTAATTACGTGTTTTATTCCATCAATTCTTTTGAAAATATAAAATGTACTTAATATACATAAAATCTACATTGCTTATACATTGAATAGATATTGAATAGACGTTGAATAAGTATTGATTATATAATCTACATTGTATATACGTTGAATTAATGTTGTATTAATGTTGAATCAATGTTGAATCAATGTCGAATTGTAACTTTTGAAAGACATAAATTCAACAGACATTAGACGTTGCTGCAATGTCTCTTCAATATTGAATCTATATTTTGCAATGTTGCTGCAATGTTTGCAATGTTGCAATTCAACGTTTCTGAAATATTGATTCAACGTTAGTGTGCTGTATGGGTCTAGACTATCTAGATGACTTTTATTTTTATGTTTTTATATTTTCAATACTAGTGATTCCAATTACGCTTTGTTTAAAAATAAAATAATACATACCATATATAACGATATTAATGCAGCAAACATATCCTTTATTTAACGATTCGTGCACTGTGTATGTCAACAAATACATTCACAAAAACACGTTTTATGTCGTTCATTTGCTTCATTACTTGAAACAATTATGATATTAAATAAGCGTGACATTTCGTTATCACGAACAAATAAATCTCACAGAGATTATGATAAAAATTAGAAATTCATAATTGAATGTATTATTAATGAGATAGTTAAAGGAATCATTTTTCTTCTTCAAAATTATCTCTCGCTATCATAAAAAATTTACTTATTAATATGCTAACCATTTATTGTTCGAGAATATTTTTACATTAATTAACATATATTCATACGTATATCTTAATTAATGTAAAAATCGTCTCGAACGATAAACGGTCAGTATATTCGGAAAATTATAAGTATATAAATAATATATTACTAGAGACAAAAAACTTTAATTAAAGTTTTTAGTAATTTTTAGTGATCCAGAGAAAGTAATTATTCATCATAATTCTTTGACTAGACAAATTAATTAAATTCTAAAATTAATAACTTTTTAAATTAAGGAAAACCTTCTATATTTATATTAAAAGTATTAGGTTGTTTCTTTTTAATGTCATTGCGTTTTACAGATGGTCTCATGCACATATGGAAGTACGAAGGTTTGAGACAGCTATGGGCGGGAACGTTACCGAGTCTTATGCTTGTTGCGAATCCGGCCATCCAATTTATGACATATGAGAGCATTAAGAGAAGAGTCGTTGCGTCTTTTGGCGGTGCTCAACCACCGGCGTGGATTTTCTTCATTATAGGAGCGATAGCGAAAGCGATTGCCACAACGATGACATATCCTTTGCAACTTGTGCAAACGAAGTTGAGGGTATCGGATATTATTGACATTCTTAGTTTGGTTGAGAAAAAATAAATTTAAGAAAAAGTATTTTTTAATCATTTTTTTTAAACTATTGTAATTTCAGCATGGCTATAAATATCCTAATCTACCCCCAGACGCAGGCACATTGCAAATACTATTTTACATTCTGAAGTAAGTATATAAAAAAAAATACTACATGAATATGTAATGTACCTATTTTACATTTTAGCTTTGTAATTTGTAAAGGTGCAATTTTATGCAGCGAAGGAAAGCTGGCTTCTTATCCCCACTTCAGTGTTATATTGATGTGAGTATTTTTTGCCCGCAGGAAACAAGGAATAAGTGGCTTATATAAAGGGATGGAGGCCAAACTTTTGCAGACTATCTTCACTGCTGCTTTGATGTTCCTAGCTTACGAGAAAATTGCACGATTCGTTTTCCGAATACTTTTAATACATAAATCTCATCTCGGATAACGATTTATTTTCAATATTACGAAACAATCTTGAGTCTCGAATCTTAAATCAAATTTTGTACATTCCCACGCATTTTATCTTCTTTGTACAATTTTATGGATAGATATAATAAAATGATATTGAATTTATAAGGCATATGTATGTACCATAAAATATAATCAAATATTTCGATTTTCGATAATCGAGTCGGCATTGAAATGTGCATAACTTTATATCGAGTCCGACGATAACGTGTGAAAAGAAAATGGTTAATCGAGCAATAGAATTTGCAAAAGTATCTAAGAAAAATGTGACCATACTTGCATAAGATACTGGCGAGTTCACGAAAATCGCAGCATCGCTTTCGGTCGCAATTTCGGTACAAATTGAATGACTTGGTGTCGCCGCTTCTGCAAACGCGTAAAGAAAATACGGGACAGCAAGATGAAGATTCGAAATATGTAAATGTCACGGCGTGTTGCGAACACTCCCGCAAGATCGATCGCAAGCGATCTGAGGCGATATTAAAATTTCTGACTAAACTTAAAATAGTCAAGTCATCGAAGAGTCAGGTGCAGTATAACGATTGCAAATCTGCGACTTCCAAGTAAGTATTTGTTGTGCAAATGAAGTGAGGCATGTGCATTTTCATTATTGAAAATAGAAACATAAGCAGAATACATTATAAATATCCTTACATTCTTTTGTGAATGAGATGTTAATAATATTTCTTAAATATGAGAATATTTTTATCGATGAGTTAAAAACATTTAAATTTAAGTATATATATATAGAGAGAGAAAGTATTGTTTAATTACTAAACTGTTGTAATAAGTATTTTATACATTTACAATATTTCCAATGTACTCTAATTTGTTATATTATTAGCTCGTTGTTTTTAATGTTCATTAAATTTATTGAAAAAGTACGTAAGTGAATAAAAGGTAGTTATATATAATAGTTTATTATATATAATAAATTATAATATACAGGGTGTTTCCAAATTAAATGGCAAAACTTCGGGAGCGTGTAGAGGAGTAAAAAACTAAGAAAAAAAGTCCTATGGACATATGCTCCTTTTTGCTTTGTTTCGCAGGAAATCACGAAAAAAGAAAAAAATATATTTAATTTATTATTTTAATTATTTTATTTATAAACTTTTTAATGAAGATTTTGTTCGAAATGTGCACCTCTTGCAGCAATACAAGCATTGCATCTGTCAAACACGGCTCTTGTAGCAGCCAGGCCTTTAAA